TGAATTGCTATCTGTTTGTTCCAGGGCTAGGTCCCTCACGCCCTCTAGTGTCAGCAATGAAACTATCACTGATGGAAAGATTTATTGCTGCACAGTTTCCTACTCAATAACCACTTTTCATTAGATGTGGAGGTTTCAGTTTTTCCAGTACATCAAGCTCACTGCCTGTGATTTCAGGGGAACCTGGATGGAGACATTTTGGGCTGTGGCGTGCTGAATAACTTAATCCTTCCCCCAACTCATAGACATCAGATCCCTTGAGTAGAGGAGCGATATCATGCATTCTTTTCATCTCTGAATTTAAATGCCTTGGAAACAATGAGAAACTTAATAAGAGCATATTTTACAATTTTTTGGTCTTTCTGAGATAGGGTTTCAGTATATAGTTCAGACTGACCTTGAATTTGCTTTGTATCCTACACTAGCCTGTAATTCACAGTGATTCTCCTGCCTCAGCCTCCCGTGTGCTGGGATTGCAGGCAAGTGCCACCATATATTGGCTTTCATAAGATCACTGACACATTCTATCAGGTCTGATGTATTTCTGAGCTTATTTCTGAATGATGTCTATGTGTTGTTATTGAAATATATGGTGAATTGTTTAAAACTTAATGAAAAAAAAAACACCTTATCCTCCTCAATACATTTCTCCTTCCTTCCAATTTACTTCTCTGATCATTCTTGCCCTTTCTGAAAATTTCTTCAGTGAAACTTTAGAAGTTTTGATGAAAATACAGTGACTGTTGCAGAAATGCAGGTCCATAGTGGGACATGCGTTAAGGTGTGTACTTAATCCACCTCTCCTGTAGATATGACTCCAGGTGATTTCCATTCAAGGTACCATAAGTGTGACAGTTATAATAGATTCACGGCATGGAGGCAGCCATAACAGCCAACCAGGAATATAAAAGGGAACTTACAAAACTAGTTTAAAAAGTGGCAAGGATGATATGTTAAGTATTTAAAACAAAGTTGAATATTTTGACTGAGATTTATGTAAACATGTAATTGAATGTGCAAAAAGATAAACATTGACTATATTTTTCAGTCACCTCTCAAATATTTCTGTTTTTTCAAAATAGTGTACAAATACACTGATTTTCCCTGAAAACTTGATAAACCTTCACACCCACACCCAGTGTGTGTGTGTGTGAGTGAGTGTGTGTGTGTGTGTGTGTGTGTGTGTGTGTGTGTGTGTATTTGCTCATATGGCTCCCATGGCAGAACTGTCTACATCACAGTTTCAGGGAATCTGTCTTCTCTGAACTCTTAACCACCTGGTAATAGGCTGGAGCAGTGCTCTCAATCCTGTACCATGAACCTCCAGAAGTTGATGAGTCCTGTTCAGTGTTACAGTGGATTGTGAAACCCACTCATTTCAATTCCTGTGGAAGGAATGTTTTCTCATGTCTTGTCACATGCTAAAATTCCCCTAGGACCTCATGAGATGATGAGCTCCTGAAATTTCACTGCTTGTCTCCTATGCAGATCATTCATTGAACTTATCAACTCTTGCATTTCTGTTTTGCTTAACATGATCCCTTCGATGGAGTGTGTAGAATCTTTATACCTCCAAAGGTAACAGAAGTGGAAGTCAGTGTAGCCATAGGACAAAAGGTTTAAAGTACCCTTTATCCGTTCTATGCATGTATACTACATTAGATTTTCTGTCACTCTTTTTTTTTTACATTTTGCTTCTTGATATGAATCAGAAAATATATATTTGCTAAGTCATCAGCTATTTACATTCAATGTAACTATCCTATGTTGGGCTTCATACAAAACAGTCTTTGTGCTGGAAAATCTCATACAGGGATTTTATTTACAATAATTTATCAAAAACAGAGGCAATAGGATCTCAAAAAAGGATACATTGACACGTAGTGTAGTCATGATAAAGATTTCAGCTCATCCTTTGTAAATTAATGGAGATGTGATGAGAGGGTCTCTCAGATACTTTGCAAATTTGGACAAGGTGTACATTGTACTCATGTAACAAGCAAATCCTTTGCGTGGGTCTTCAAAAGTTAAGGTTCTGATGATGGGGGTTCAAGCTTTTTAACCAGAGGAATCTCCAGAGTGCATATGACGTGGTACCCATCAGCATGCAACCCTCCTCACAGTTGGAGGAAGAAGTGTTAGGGAGCTGAAGGAGCAACTGGGGGTCAGAATAATATATATAACGTAAGGACAACTATTTAGAAGAAAGCAAGAGATATTATGGTAGTCACTGTTGATTTCCTGTTGTCTTGTTTTGAAGTTGTGTTTCTTGCATGTTTTGTTTTGATCTCCTTTATTTTGTTTTGTTGGATTGTCTTTAAAATTATATAAATACTCTTGCACTGTCTTTGTAACAAAATGAAAATTAATAAAATGTAATCTATATCAATGTCTTAAGTGTGGTAGATTGCTTTTCTCTTAGATGTGAAAAGGACATCACTGAAGCTGCTTTTGAACAGAGAAAATACAGTGACTTCAGGCGTCAGATCATAAGCACAATCACTGTTTTCTTAGGAAAGAAAATTAAATGACTAAATTCTCTTTTTTTAAATGAAATATGTCAAAAGGAACCATTCATGCATTTCCTTCTCCTTCAGGCTCAAACATCAAACAGCATCAATGAAGACACTTTCCTACACCTTTTTCATCACAAACAGTCAACAGGAATCTGATAGATTGTTTATAGTGCAGTCACATGATCTTCTTTGTAGTCAGGTTTAGTACAACCTAGGTTTATGTCTTAATTCCCCTACTGGGTCTTCCTGTGTTGAGCAGTGCTGTCATAGAGCATAAGACAAGCACTCAGCTTCATCTTAAGGCTGCATCTCAAGGGTGTTAAGTGGACTCTGCCATGGGAGGGAACATGCAGACCTGACAGTGACTAAGAGTCCCTAGTGCTTGTGTCAAAAATCATTGTGAGAGTTTCACAAATTTCTGATTGAGCCAGAGTGGAGTATGACCATCAGTGCTCTCTACAAAACAGCCGCCACGGTGAAAATGATAGATACTTGAGAAATAGAGTATTTGAAGGAACCAGGATAATCATAGCCTGAGAACTGCACCACAAAATAAAAATCAACACACATGAGAGAAGAGGAAGAAGGATAGAAGTGTTGCTCTGAAATCAGCTGTGTGACATCTGTATGAATCCAGACAGGGCTTGAGGAGAGATGGAAGGAGGAACAGACATGTGCAGGCAATAGGGTGGATTTTCCATGTATTTCAGAGCACTTGCAGCTGCTGATGACCTTGGGATGATTCTTTTATGTCCCACTCCGTGCTTGAGGCTTATTTCTTTGGTGTCATTGAAAAACATGAATCATTTATCAAAAACCTTAGCACAATTGTTTACAGGATTGTGACTTCAAGATTCTGCTCTCTTGCCAGTGATCTTGGGTGTTGTGAGCTTTATGTTTTCCCAAATATACAGATGCTATAATCCATTGTATAATGTTGTATATTATATGTATATAAACTATAGACATCTTCCTGTATACTTTAAATAATCATTATATTTATACTACATAATTAAATGCAAATATCTTATACATAATTGGTATATTGTACTGTGTGTGGCATACTGACAATAAAAAAGGCAGCATAGCTCCACATAGCTTAAAAAAGTGGTTTCTGATTGAATGCAAGTATTTTTTAGTGAATAATTCCTATTTATGTTTTCTCTACTATATGTAAGTTTCAATTTGGAAATTTAAAAATTGTTCCCATTATGTTTTGCAGAAAATGGATACAACATAAAATTTAGCTGTAAGTATGTTAGCATATAAATTATTTTGGGATTGTAAATGATACCATAAGATTTAAAGGAAAGGCTAATAAAGTTAACCTAAGTAACTATATTTAGTGTAAAACTCAAACTTGATATTGCTCACCCAGCACCAGCCTGTTGCTGGCAGAGGTACTGTCTCAGTGCGGACACAGTTCAACACTAGGATTGTCACTGGCCAACACAGGATGTTATAAGAGAGAAGATATGATGAGGAATCTTGAAGCTCCCAGGAAAACTGGGGAAACCCAGAAATACACACCAGACTATCAGGTCCTGAACTAGATCCCCAGTCTCTTAAATGGCCAAGGCTTCAATAAAATGAGACAAGTGGCGTGATTTTAGGGCTCCAGGAGGGTCAGAACCCTTAAATTGAGTTAAGTCTCTGGGGGCTAAGACAAGGACTTCTCTGGAAAACCCATATTTATTAGGTCCAAAACAAAGAGTGAGTGAACTGAGGAAAGTGCAAGAAATGGGTTCAAGTGCAAGAAGTGCAAGAAAACACCTTTGGAGTCACTTCAAAGACTTCTCCAAGTAGTAAAAGATGCCAACTTACGAGAATCATGTTAGCTCCAAGATGACATTTATGCTAGGAGTGGGACTTCAGCAGTTAGATTCCTTCAGCTGCAGTCTATATTTACTTAACTAGTCCTGGAGCCAAGGTGTCCTCGCTGTCACCTATCTTTCCCTTTGAGTTATCTCTGGTCTCACGGGCCGCTACAGGCCTCATCCAGGACCAGTGACTAATAGAAGTTCATTTACTATGAATCAGCTCCCATCACCAGGTAAGGGGCTTAGGCCTAGGACAGAAAGAAATAAACATAGAAAGCCAAATAGTGAATTTTAACTCATTCTCAGAGCGTCTTCATAGTGCTCTCCAATACTGGAAACCTCAAGGACGTTGCTTACTGAGGTGCACGACAACCTAAGAACTTTGACTACTGATGCTTCTGAACATCTCCCAAGTCATTAATTAATTCCTGAGCCCTGAAAAATCTATATACTCAATACAATTCTCACTCTAGTTAAAGATTTCAGAGATACATAAATGGGTGAAGATAAAATTCATTGTGAGTTGTTGCAGTGGTTGGCATACAAGGTCCCCTTCTAAATCACGAACAAGGAGCATCTGTCTCAGAAGCCAGACATGATTCCTAGTCTTGTGTTTGCATGAAGGAGGTGCTGAGGAGCACAGGGTGAGTCTGCACAAGAGTGTTTATGTCTCACTTCCCCTTAGGCTTGTATCACTGTGGAAATGGTTGCTATACCACAAGGCACAGTAATAGGTGGCCTCATCTTCAGTCTGGGCCCCTGTGATTGTGAAGGCAGCCTTGTTTCCAAGGAAGGAGCCTGTGAATCGGGCAGGAACCCCTGGGCTTCGGTTGCTGGTACCATATATTAGACTCTTTGTTATTTCAGAGGGTTTTTGTTGGACCCAGGCAGCATAGTTACTAGTTGTGACAGCCCCAGTACTGGAAGCACAGGTGAGTGTGACTGTCCCTCCAGGAGAGATGGACAGTGAAGATTCCTGAGTCACCACAGCCTGGGATTCAGCCCCTGAAAATAAGTGAGGAACCTGATGGTCAGGAGAGGAGACAGAGGCAGCAGTGATGCTTTCCAAAGCCCCAGCCAGAAAATCCCTGCTGACCTGTGATGTGAGCCAGAAGTGTGAGGAGGAGAGGAGCCCAGGCCATGGTGCAGACAGACAGGACTGTGTTTTACAAGTCTGCTTAGCACACAAGCTGCCCTCTAGCTTGCATTTATAACTATTAACACCTTGCTGGGGGATGGGGGAGGTAAGGTGAAGGCAGAGCATTCATGCAAATGAGATTGCCCTGCCAAGGAGTTCAGCAGCTTGCTCAGGTCACACATACTGAGTTAACCCACAGTGAGTATTTGATCAATCAACCTACAACCTACAAAGATTTTGAATTGCTATCTATTTGTCCCAGGGCTAGGTCCCTCACGCCGTCTAGTGTCAGCAGTGAAACTATCACTGATGGAAAGATTTATTGCTGTAGAGTTTCCTACTCGATAACCACTTTTCATTAGATGTGGAGGTTTCAGTTTTTCCAGTACATCAAGCTCACTGCCTGTGATTTCAGGGGAACCTGGATGGAGACATTTTTGGCTGTGGCATGCTGAATAACTTAATCCTTCCTCCAACTCATAGACATCAGATCCCTTGAGTAGAAGAGCGATATCATGCATTCTTTTCATCTCTGAATTTAAATGCCATGGAAACTCACCAAACAATGAGCAACTTAATAAGAGCACATTTTACAATTGTTTGGTCTTTTTGAGATAGGGTTTCAGTATATAGTTTAGATTGACCTTGAATTTGCTTTATATCCTATACTAGCTTGTAATTCACAGTGATTCTCCTGCCTCAACCTCCATTGTGCTGGGATTGCAGGCAAGTGCCATCATATATTGGCATTCATAAGATCACTGACACATTCTATCAGTATCCGATGCATTTCAGAGCTTATTTCTGAATGATGTCTATGAGTTGTTATTGAAATATATGGTGAATTGTTTAAAAATTAATGAAATAAAAACTACACTTTATCCTCCTCAATATATTTCTCCTTCCTTCCAATTTACTTCTCTGATCATTTTTGCCCTTTCTGAAAATCTTCTTCAGTGAAACTTTAGAAGTTTTGATGAAAATACAGTGACTGTTGCAGAAATGCAGGTCCACAGTGGGACATGCGTTAAGGTGTGTCCTTAAGCCACCTCTCCTGTAGATATGACTCAAGGTGATTTCTGTTCAAGGTACCATAAGTGTGACACCTATAATAGATTCAGGACATTGAGGCAGCCATAACAGCCAACCAGGAACATAAAAGGGAACTTTCAAAATTATTTTAAAAAGTGGCAAGGATGATATGATAAGTATTTAAAACAAAGTTGAATATTTTGAGTGAGATTTATGAAAACATGTAATTTAATCTACAAAAAGGGTAAACATTGACTATATTTTTCAGTCACCTCTCAAATATTTCTGTTTTTTCAAAATAGTGTACGAATACACTGCTTTTCCCTGAAAACTTGATAAACCTTCACACCCACACCCAGTGTGTGTGAGTATATGTGTGTGTGTACATGTGTGCGTGTGTGCATGTGTGTCCGTGTGCGTGTGTGTGTGTGTGTGTGTGTGTGTATGTGTGTGTGCCTGCTCATATGGCTCCCATGGCAGAACTCTCTACATCACAGTTTCAGGGCATCTGTCTTTTCTGGATTCTTAAACCCAGTAACCACCCGGTAATCTGCTGTAGCAGTGCTCTCAGTCCTGTACCATGAATCTCCAGAAATTGATGAGTCCCGTTCAGTGTTAGAGTGGATTGTGAAACCCACTCATTTCAATTCCTGTGGAAGGAATGTTTTCTCATGTCTTGTCACATGCTAAAATTCCCCTAGGACCTCCTGAGATGATCAGCTCCTGAAATTTCACCGCTTGTCTCCTCTGCAGATCATTCATTGAACTTATCAACTCTTGCATTTCTGTTTTGATTAACATGATCCCTTCGATGGAGTGTGTAGAATGTTTATACCTCCTAAGGTAAGAGAAGTGGAAGTCAGTGTAGCTATAGGACAAAATGTGTTAAAATACCCTTTATCAGTTCTATGCGTGTATACTACGTTAGATTTTCTGTCACTCGTTTTTTTTTTTTTACATTTTGTTTCTTGATATGAATGAGAAAATATATATTTGCTATCTCATCAGCTATTTAAATTCAATGTAACTATCCTATGTTGGGCTTCATAGAAAACAAGCTTTGTGCTGGAAAATCTCATGCAGGGATTTTATTTATAATAATCTATCAAAAAGAGAGGCAAGAGGATCTCTAAAAAGGATACATTGACATGTAGTGTAGTCATGATAAAGATTTCAGCTCATCCTTTGTAAATTAATGGAGATGTGATGAGAGGGTCTCTCAAATACTTTGCAAATTTGGTCAAGGTGTACATTGTACTCATGTAACAAGCAAATCCTTTGTGTGGGTCTTCCAAAGTTAAGGTTGTGATGATGGGGGGTTCAAGCTTTTTAATCAGAGGAATCTCCAGAGAGCATATCATGTGGTACCCATCAGCATGCAACACTCCTCAGAGTTGGAGGAAGGAGTGTTAGGGAGCTGAATGAGCAACTGGGAGTCACGATAGTATATATCAGGTTCATAATGTATATGAGGTTCACAGCATTAACAAGGCTGTGTTCCTTGAGTATTAGGAGAGGTTACAGAGAGGCAGGATACAGGTATGAATGGTATCAGAAAAAAAAAATCTCCCAGAAAACTCCTGTGAGTTTAGCTTCCCTTCGAATTGAGTGTTTCTGCCAAACGAGAATGGAAGAAATCTCTGTTATATTTGGCTGAGCCCTTCCCCTTCCTAACATTCTTAGATCTTCTGTACTTTTGCAAGGGAAATAAAGACTGTCCATAAAATTTTGTCTGGGCTCAAGAAGACCCTGAATTTCTGTCAGCTAATTCACTGCTCATCCTGAATTTTAGGAGTCATGAACCTTTTGCCATGCTCAAGATGAGCCCTGGTCCTGGTGGCCCAAGTCTGTAAAGTGAGCCATAATTGGAAAGAGAAAGAAGCAGCACATCTCAGTGGATCCTGAGACTCTGGCAGAGGTAACAACATGTTATCAGGTACAGATTGGTCATCATGTCAGAATAATCAGTGGAGACAGGCTGCAAATAGATAAAAATCAAATGACAAAAAATATATTAAAATTCTAGGTCACAAAAGATCCTGCTATAATTAAGGACAATTATGCTTAGGAATAAATTTGGAAGGTACATTCATTGGAAACTAAAAGTCCAGTTAAATGAGCATATCAAAACAGAAAATATACATAAAATTGGAGAAAAGTGAGAAGAGATTTGGCATTTTATCCAGCTGTCCTTACATAAAATTGAGCATTTCACTGGATGTGATACCAGGTGCTTGTAATCCCAACTCTCTCAAGGCTGAGACAGGAGGATCACTGTGAGTTCAAGGTCATCCTAGGGTACAAAATGAATTCAGTGTAAACCTGTATTACATACTGAGAGCTCTTCTCCAAAGGAAGAAGAGGAGGAGGAGGAAGAAAAGGAAAAGGAGAAGAGAAAGATGAAGATGAGTATATCAGAAAAACAAAGGGTAGCATATGTTGTTTAGGAAAAGTTAAATGCCAAAACTTAGATGCATTGAATCGAGTATTTAAAATTGTTTTATAGTGTGTCTGCAGTACATAATGATTACTATAATTGTGGGAGATGTGGTACAAATATCTAACACATCTTAATTCTTTTTTCTTACACCCATTAACACCATCCATCTCTTGGTCTCCTTGCTTTTTGCAAATACATATCTGCCCATTTCCATTAATCATTCTTGCAACTGCTCTGTATTTATGATTTTGGTTACTCACATAAGAGAAACCCTGTAATATATAAGCCTAAGCCTGATTTATTTTACTGAAACATGTCTCAAGATTCATCTATTTTCCCATACATGACCCATGTTTATCCTTCTTTGTGGAACAATAGTACATTACGGTGTAGAGACACCATATTTTCTTTATCCATTTATCCGGTTAGAGACATGTAGGTCACCTACAAGTTTGAGCTATCATGAATTGTGCTGCCATCAACATGGATGTGCATATGTTACTGCAATAGGATATTTTAACACTGCTGGGAAGATTCCCAATAGAGGATGTCATTTATTTATGTGTTTTTTGTTTGCCTTTTTGAGACAATGTTTTGCTATGAAGTTCAGGCTGGCTTCGAATTCACTTTGCATCCCAGACTAATGTCAAACTTGGAATCATCCTTGTGCCTCAGAATCCTGAGTGCTGGATTCCAGGAATGCACCACCATACCAGGCTTCGAAAGGGGTATTGATGCATGAAATGTAATTCCTTCTTTTTTAGGAATATCTGTACTGATTTCTACAGTGGGAGTAATACTACAAAACATAGCAGTAAAATTAAAAATAAAAATAAAATAGAGTATCAAAAATAATTTTCTGAGGTCCTTAGTTTGATTAGAGACAGACAATAATATTGATTAATTTAAATTTCATGTTACAAACCCTAGTGAGATATAGTATATATCCCCAGAGTCACTATAAGGTAAAAGACTGAACACACATACCAGTGATATGCAAATACTTTAGTCCTTTATACAATATGATGCAATATTTGGGCATAATCCATTCACATCTTCCTCTGTGCATTAAATCACCACTAAATTATTTATATTAATAAACGGTACTTATGTATAAAATAGATAGTTTATTGTACTGTTTGGCAATACTGATAAGAAACAAGGCAGCTTATTTCCATGAAGATGAAAAAATTACTTTATGCCTGATGGGAAATACTTCTTTGGTGAATATTTCCTATATTGTGTGTATCTTTAAATTTAGAAAGATAACATCAGTCCCATTATTACTGGGGAATATGGACATTATAATAGCTTACTCACAAGTTTGTAATCATGTAAATTATTTTTGCTATGCAAATAATATTATACAATTTGAAAGAAAATAGTAATGAAATTCACCTAAAAAGCATTTCTGTTTTACTGTTGCAAAATGTTGGTAACACAATGTATAGTTTTATATTACAAAGTTGCTATATTGTAGCAACTATATAATCAGTTTAACACATAGTTGCCTAAGAAATTCGTTTTTTGTTTTTGTATTTTTTTTTTGAATCAGATCCTCACTGTGTACTGCAGGCTGATCTTGAAATTGTAGTGACCCTAC